GAGAGAACATTGTGTCTGGTGCTGTCTGTGAGAAGTGGTTTAAAATGTTTAGAAATGGTGATTACGATGTCAACGACGAGCCACGTTTTAGTCGTCCAAACGAGATGGAGAGCAATGAATTGGAAGTGTTGCTCAACGAAAACTCGGCCTAAATATTAAGAAAGCTTGCAGGACAGCTTGGAGCTGATGAATCGACAGTATCCTGCCATTTGAAAGCAATAATCCAGAAGGAAAGAAGATGGCTTCCCCATGAACTCTCTGCAAATGCGATTGAAAACCGGCTTACCGTCTGTCTCTCATTGCTTGCCAGATATAAAAAAGTTTTTTTTTACGGCGAATAGTTACGGATGACAACAAGTGGATCTATTTTGACAATCCTAAACGTACAAAGTCAAGGATTGATCCCGGCCAACCATCGACATCCACAACAAAACGTAACATCCACGGATATAATTCTCCTCTGTGTCTGGTGGGACCAAAAAGTGTTTTAGTATAAGCTGTTACCACCGGGATAGAGAGTCACAGAAGATCGCTTCAGTCAACAACTACGGCGTTTGAAGCAAACCATGAAGGAAAAGAGCCTTCGAATAGCCGCGAATCGACCGCAGTCATCTTGCTTAACGATAACGTCAGGCCGCATGTTACTGTTGCAACTAAAGAGACGTTGTTCGAATTAGATTTGGAAGTCCTGCCGCGCCCAGCGTATTCCCCAGACATCACTCCATCTGATTTTCATCTATTCAGATCGATGCAGTACGGTTTATCTGATACACGGTCCCGAAATGCCAAGGAAGTGCGAAAATGGGTCGATGAATGGATTGTCTTAAAAGATTAATCATTTTATTGGCGCGGGATCAAATTGTTGCCTGAAAGATATCAAAAGATTATTGATAGCTTGATTAAATATCTCATGTGATCTCATTGTTATTAATAAATAAAAATGACTTCAATAGCATACGAACTCTTGCAAGCATATAATAACGCAATTAATATTTAATTTAATTAATATTTAAACGCGATTGCGTTTCCGATGCAATTTCGATGATGTCGCGGCGAGGAAAGCGCAATCCAAAGGACTCGACGCTTTTGCACGCTAAACTATTCGTTGCCCTATTAATGGACATTTATCTCTGGCGGATACACGAGAAGCCGCGCCGATCCGACAAGGTTAATGAGCCGCCGCCGCGGTCGTCGCCGCTGTCTCACTCTTTATTCAAGTCGCCAAAAATAAAAGGAGCAAACGCGTACCAGTATTTCCTAGCTTTCTCTTGGCCGAATCACGCAACGCAATGATGCACTTTGAGCGACTGGTTGCATAAAATGCGACAAGATGTATCGACGCTTAGAAACTGCACGCAAGCCACACCTGTTTATCGCGCGTCTTTTAGCCAACTACATTTTTCCCACGACGTTCGCTCGGGTTTTACGTGTCGTGTCAAGGGAATTACGTTCCGCGGCGCTAAACGCGCGTGCGACCACTTTGCCACGTGAGACCTACCACATCGATAATTATCGCGGGGACTACTTTATCAAGCGGCAACATGCAGCGTTGAGGAATTAATGTATTTTTCCTAAAAAATAATAGAAAAATCTATTCATAAGTTCATTGTTCACACTTAAATTTTAAGATAAATATATTTGAAACATTCGAATCCTCGATTTTTTAAATTTATTTTAATTTATTTAAATTTAATTTATTAACAGATTCATTTTGGTGCTACAGAATATATACAAATATAATAGAATAACATATATTATTAATTAATTAACTAGTAATGTTCCTTATAATAATGTTTCGGAACATACACATTTTGTGTCAAATTTAACATATTTCACATGTCTCTATACAAATTTTTATATTAATTTAACAGAAGATTAATATTAAAAAATAATACAAATATTATGTCAAAAATTAACACAAAATTAACATCCGTAATATGTTAATCAACATTGAAATATAAAATATATCATTTTAATACTTACAAGTGTTATTTTAACGCACCTGTTGAATATCGACTCAAATCAAAATATATATTGAGATAACATAAACATAATATGTTAAATTAACACACAGGTTTGTTAAAAATTTAACACAATTTTTACAAGGATCGATTTTTAACACAACGATTTTAACACAAGTATAAAATGTTTTTTACTGTGTATCAAGAATTAAATTAAAAAATGGACACAATCCGAATATTGGTTAGCAAACATACCAATGCGATTAACTAGTTTAAATCTCCTATATAATATTCGGTGAATTCCAACATAAAAAAGCTCATTATTTCTTGAATTTTTAACTAGAATATGTAAACCAATTAGATTGAGTAATGCTTACTCAAAATTTTCTAAGGCTTCTACAATCTTTCGGAAAGTTCGAAGAAATTAGAATCCCAACCAGAACGCCCAGAGACACGAGATATAAAATCAAAGAAGCTCATAGAACTATTTGATATCTCCGCGACTCGCATCCCGTCGTTTTAATCGGCAACCCTCTATTACTGTGACATTTATTTATTCATTCGTGCGTTTGTATGTCGAACCGCCGGATCGTCGACGCCGATGCGTGAAATGCGACACGTGGCCACCGTGTACAAACCGCAAAGGCGGCATTGGATGCTGATTCAAGACACCCGGTAGTGGTTAAGTCGTCGTCGTCGTCGTTGTCGCTCGTCTAGAAACCGTCCACGCGATCTTTACCTCGCCAAGATCTATTTACCTGTTCGAGTCGCCTGACCGACTTGGATGAGTCGGTCCGCCGGGGAGTTGGCATACCAGTCGGCCGATTAACTTACTCCATCGCGTGGCCGATCGTTCAGTTCGTTGAACTGGTTTTTGCGAAAACGCGCCGGCGAAAACCCACGCGCCGAGCAAAAAGCCTCTTCCCACACGAATGAGAATGCGACACAGGAAATTTCGAAGTGTCGAAGGGTCCTCCGAACGAGTCCCGCCGGTTCCGCGAGTTACGAGGATATAAAGTACACCATATGCAAAAAATGTACAATTTTAAGTCATAAATCAATATAAATATCAATATTCAAACTATCGATAGATGTTTGCGGGAGTGAGAGACCATTTTAGAGAGAGAGAAGCGAAAGATCTCTTCGAAGAACAAATTGTTACATTTTTCGAAGAAAATCAACTTTCCGAAAACTCTTCGAGCAGATTAAGAATAGATTTCCCCAACTGCGGTACAATGCAATCGTCCGCACACTTCGGAGATCGAAAGTTTCAGAAACGAAAGAGCCGAGATCCCCCGCTTCCTCCTCGGCGAGTAAGCGGTCTGTAGTAAGTCTACACTGAGCAATAGCGAGCGCGGAAAGGGCAACAAAACTCCGGGAACAACCTAATAAAACGCCGGGTACCGCGAGAGGAGAGGAGAGCTGTCTGGAAAAACGCGAATCGCGTGGCGCACGCGAAATCTCACCTCGTCTAGGAAACGTCGGCGAAGATCCTGTTACTCGCAGGTGGAAAGTGAACTGCAGGATTAATAGGCCGAACACGTATACATACATATGTACACGCGCGCGCGCATGCCGGGCAAATCGCGCGTGTGCGATCGGCCGGGATAAACGATCGGCGGGAGAGAAAAGAGTAGAAAAAGGAGAAAAAGAGAGAGAAAGAAAGAGGAACGATCGAATAATCGACGATTCGCCGACGGCGAAACACCAAGTCGCCGATCGGAGATCGCGCGACGCGCGAAATGATATTGTAATTCTTGCGACGAGCGCGACCACTTAAGCGGCCCTCATACGATCCGTGTCGCCGTCTCGTGCGAGTCCATTCGCGGTCCGATAAATCTCAATTCAGAGAACGAGATTTGGCATCACAGCCGCGACAGGCCTGCTTAGCGCTAAACAGAGCTCGGGAATTAGCCGTTCGTTAATTTCGCCGACAGCCGAAGCCAAGTCTTCCTTACGCGATGTTTCTTAGAGACCGCGATTTTTCTCGCGAGTTTTTCCATGTTAGATACATTTCTCGTTGAATCTGATATTTCTGTGTATTTATTTATTTATATGGAAATTTTTGTTGTACAATAGATTAAACTTGTACACAATCAGAAATTATGTGATTTACTAATGATTTATTAATATAATCAGCGCGAAGAGAGCAGACGCAATGGCGGACGCAAAAGAACGCTTAAAAGAGTGAACAAATTTTGTGAAGAAATCACATGTAATTTCAAACACAAATATTTAGTGATTCGTGTGATGGGATCGGTATTACAGAAGTTTGATTTAAAAGGCGCGAAGCCGATATAATTGAATATCGCGTGACAGCTTAGTATAATCGTTGGAGTTTACCAAGATGAGTAAATATTAAAGATATTAAAACGTTTGCGTTGCGTTTAGGTAGGAGAGTCCGCTTGAATTGAATGAACAAAGTATCGCGGAACTCGACAAAAACATCGATCGTGTGAGGGCCCCTTAAAGACGCCAATCGGCGAAGTGTGCCAGGCTTGCGAGGCCGCGATGGAAAAATGGGCCACGTGTAAGCGCGACATTACTCGAGAATAAGTATATAACTCTTTTTCTTCTCGGCTCCCCGTCGACGGGGAAAAATTACTTCGCAACATTCGCCCTATTCGTCTGGTCCGTATGACAATAATATATTAACAATAAATAATTACTCGGCGACAGACTGAGACGTCATCGCGGCGATACAAATGTGCGGCTTCATCTAGTTCTCTACCGACGACTCATAACTCAACACGGAGGACAATCGGCCGATTGTAATCGCGGCCGTGGCGGAATAAACAAGATCGCAGACACGATCCGGAAGGACGTGTCTCTCCGCGCCGATTAAGCGGCGAAAAATCGAGCCGCCATTGATTTATTAATAATTACCGTTTTTACGACGCTCGGAGCGAGGCGCGTACGGGCGTTTTATTTGCTCGTATATCACCGCCGGCCGGAGGATCATCGGACGTTACACGCCGGTACACGCCCGCCTCTTACGAGACCGTTAATCATATTTGTAACAATGTGATTTACGCTTACCGAGCGTGATCCAGATCTCTCTTGTTGCCGAGCAGGAGGGCGGTGAAATAGGACGGCAGGCGTAGATCCGCGAGTTGCTTGAGAAGTCCCCTGGCTTCCTGAAAGCTACGCTTACACGTCACGCTGTAGACCACGACGAAGGCCTCGCCCCATCGTATGTGCGAGTACAGGCAACCGTTCTCCTGGAACAAATCGATAGAGCACATCGATCATTATGACAATCGGGGCAGAGACAGAAGAAGGGAGAATCAAGAATCGGGTTTAATTCGACGTATCTTTCCTCGGACAGCTACGGAGGATATCTTAACATTATTTTAATACGTCTCGTCTTTATCAGAGTGAGAGATCCAGTGTGAGGAGAAAGCGATCGTGATAAATCTATTAGGTGCTCGCAAAAGTTCGTAAGATCACAAATAGATCGCTGTAGCAGCGACTTAGTAATTGTTTTCCATTAAGTTGCTTTTTACTTCTTAAATATCGGCGTACTGGATCAGAATCGATGGTTGACTATTCATAGTTTCGAACAAAAACGTCCTCATGTTTAAGGCTCCGGAGTAATTGCTGTGACCGTCCTTGTTTAATGACGTCAGAAGCGAGATAATCTATTTGATACATGGTTCCAAAATTCTGAGGAAGTGCGAAAATGGGGCGAAGAATGGATTACCTCAAAAGATGAGTCATTTTATCGACGAAGAATCAAACTATTGCCCGAAAATTGGCAAAAAGTAATTGATAGCAACGGCCAATGCTTTGATTAAAATATTATATGTCATCTCATTGTTATTAGCAAATAAAGATGGCTTTAATATCATACGAACTTTTGCAAGTATTTAAATAATAAATTTGTTTCCTGCACACAATGTATCATTCTGATAACTTTAACGTTGTCAAAAGTCCTGTCGGCGTTTATGAGTTTTGCATCTCGCAAGTATCGCGAGGGCCAGCTCACGCAGCGTCACTGTGTGTCTGATTTTGATGGCTGGCAAAAAAAAGAAGAGAGAAGCGCGCTGAGAACTCGCGGCGCCGATTCTTCAAGTCGCGTCCGTAAATTTCAGTCATCGCCTAAACTGCCGCGCGCATCCGGCGGGACGCTGAATTTTATAGACCGAGATAAATATATACCCGCGTCCGCGTGCGTATATTTACGGGCGTTATTTACGGTCAAATCTGTCGAATTAACATTGCATGTAACGTGCTCGTAAATAAACGCCACGGGAACCTCCAACAACGCACGTTCCCCTTTCACGCTGCCCCGCAATGTTGTAACGTTCCAAGAGGATTGTCGATGTCCGGCTTTTTGAGGAAAGGAAGAAAAGAAAAAAAAACAGAAAAAAGAAGGGCGTTAAAGTCGATCGTGTCGTATCAAAAATTACGTGTTTTACATGTTGAATAAAAATTCGTCTCTCTGGGCTTAACGATCTCCACGATTTATGGTTCACCTCGGATTTATGAGTCTTCGTTCGTATGTTGAGATTACGCAAGGCTTCATGAAACTTACAAACTAACGAGAATGAGAAACTTCGGTGCACTCGGTCGAAACCTTGAAGTTTTATACAGGACTTTGGTCTTTCGGGATCTCGAATCGCGTGAAATTACGGTATTACAGGACTTCGAAGCTTTTCAGAGATTTATCATTGCGAAAAATTCCTGACTCGTGTAATTCGCGAGATTCAATCTTTCGTTCTTTGCTCGATTCTTCAGATTCCGGATCTCCTGGGCGCCGACGCTTCGATTAAGAAATCTGGTTCATTCGTTACCTTAAACGGCCACTAAATCTGCTGCGACGTCCTCGACGGGATAAACGTCATCGACGTGAAACGTTGTCGGCAGGCGTGCATCTGTCGCGCCGTCGTAACCCGAATCGCTCATAAATATTTATTGATCGATTGTATTCGAGGCAATTGAACGCGATGCCGGAATTGCGTCCACGCGTGTCGTGCGAGTGCATCAACGACGTTGTGCAACCAGTGCAGTCGATGTTATTCGTCCAGTTATGAAATAATGCAAAACACCTCTCGATTAAGCAACATGTTTAATGCACTATACGTCGCGCAATTTCGTGGAAATGCGCCGCAATTATTCACTGACGACGTGTTTCCTCGCGGTTAAACATGATAAATAAGCAAGCCAGTACGCGCCACCAAATCCAATTTACATTTTTTCCAGTCGAGTTTTTCAAATCTAACCCGTAGTTTCGGTTAGTAGACGTAGGAGATCAACACGAGATGTAATTTTTCTGAGAAAAACTAAACAGTAAATGCATTTAAATGAAGCAGAGCTAAAATATTCATGAAGCTAATTCCCCCCCCCCCCAGACTTTTNCGAAAAAAACACGTAAATTTTTTAAGGCTGAAAATTATATTCAAAGCTTCGGATGTTTAAATTTTCGACATATTATATACGAAAATTCAAGAACTGGAAATTATGTGTTCGATTACTGAATTCTTCCATGTGGAAAATTTCTATTGTAAGGATTCAAAAATTTTATTATTTTTTTTTGTAGACATAGTAAATAATATTTATTAAAATATGTGATTTTTCCTTGCAGTTATGTTGTTACATATTATAGCAAAATTTGCATTTATTTTAAAATAAATTTAGAGATTCAGCGTTTATTATTCGTGCTTTCCTTATTTACTTTGTTTTAAACTAAACAAATGCAAATTTAAGAATTGAACTAAAGATACTTAGACTGACACTAATTGTACAGTATTGTGTTGCACTTTTCAAAATTAGTCCTGTTAACAGCTTCAATATTTCGAATTTTCGAATAGAGTTCGAAGCTTCGAATAATTCGGACTTCGAATCTTTGAACTTCGTCAAATATCGAATTATACCGAAGTTTCGAAGCTTCGAATATATTGGATAGAATTACCTGTAGAATTTTCATATCGCCTGATTTAATATATAAGTGGTCAAAATTCGGAAATCGGTCACGTTTCGTAAAAATCCCTAAAGCCGTTCGGGCGGGCGGAAGAAGACACACCCGCAGACCGTAATTTCCGATCGGCGGTCGTTTTAACGACGCGACAGTTAACAGGACACCCGATAGGACGAAACGATCGTGCTGTCCATTCGGAATCGATTCAAGTGGGCGAGAACCGCGCGCTTTAACACCTACGCGATCCCGCCGGATAAGCAACGATCGCCCCGACGAAGTTATGTTTCTTCGTGTTCGTGCCGCAGATAACGATCCCCAGCTATTCACCTTTACAGATAGCGCCAATATCTTCGGCTAATAATGCTCGCCGATTAGAAGGCCGCATATTCCACATAAACGGCATTCCGACGGATCATTGAATCTTTGGACGCTCGGATGTTCGAGCTATTAAATTCCAGCCCCGTGATTTACGCCGTATGATATGATACGTAGAAAAAATATCCGATACGTCCGATAAACGTTTCATTGTTTATTGTGCGCGCGGTTATACAATATGCAATATAAGCGAATATTTCTCGGATTTTTGCGAAGTTGTGAAACATATCTGAACAAATAAAATACGTATATATATATATATATATTGGGAGTACAAATTAGTTCGGTCCGTTTTCAAAAGATAGCTCTGGCTGTTATGAATGTTTCATAGTGACAGCTGATTTCGGTGGTTTCAAAGAGGTTAGACATCTGTCAATAATATTCAGTTTATATCGCTTTGAGTTTCATACAAAACCCCTGTTTTTTACTGTGTTGAATATGTCAAATTTTGTGTTAACTAAGCAGCATTTGCGGAAGGTTTTAGTTTTCTGCTTTAATTGGAAGAAAAGTGTAGCTGAAGCGTATCGAATGCTTGTAGAAGTTTATGGTGCCAATGCTCCAACTGATAAATCATGTAGGAAATGGTTTCGACGTTTCAAGAATAGTGATTTCAGCGTTGAAGATAAGCTTCGCTCTGGACAGCCAAAAAAATTCGAAGACAAAAAATTGGGGGCATTATTCGATGAAGATCCAAGTCAAACGCAAGAGGAGCTTGCAGAATCATTGGGAGTTACGCAACAAGCAGTTTCCGTACGAGAAAAACGGCCGGAATACGAGCAAAGACATGACAAAGTTATTCTTCTGTATGATAACGCTCGGCCTCATGTCGCAAAAGTCGTAAAAAATTATTTGGGAACGCTCGGACATTGTTTCTTCTGATTACTAGTTGTTTCGACGGATGCAGCACGATTTGGCAGGTCACCGGTTCACTTCTTTCGCAGAAATCGAAAATTGGCTCCTAACTTGGATCGCCTCAAAAGACGAGACATTTTTTCGAGATGGAATTCGAAAATTGCCTGAGAGGTGGGAAAAAGTAGTAGCCAGCGATAGACAATACTTTGATTAATTTATTCATTTATTTTGTTCTGAAATAAATGCATTTTTAACCACAAAAAAACGGACCGAGACAATTTGTACTCCCAATATATACACACACACGTATATATATGTACGTCATTCGACAAATAAAAGTTGAATTTACCATGTTCAGTAAACATTTTTGTTTAACGAAACATAACTGCTCCGATTAAAACTGCAATATTTTATTCGTAATATTTTCGGGAAGAAGACTGAAAATGTTCAAATTTGCTTTCGTATTGTGAAATCACGACTTATCGGTGCACGAATTGGGAGGTCAACAAAGTATTCTGCTTTGTTCGCATCTGGTTTCGCTACTGACGTTCGTATCCTTCCGGCGAAATTCTCCGCGTATTCCGGAGTGGACTTTCCGTTTCTGTAACTGAATGTACCGACCCCGTGGTGTAAATCGAACCTCCGAGGCAGGAGACTATAAGCGTGGATCAGCGTGTGCCAAGAAGTATCTTTTCTTCGCGCGACAATGCACGTTTCCACGAAAGCGACACCAACCCGACGCCGCAGGACGCCGCGTTATTGCCCGGCCACTGACAATGAGTTACAATGTTATTACTTGTAGTTTTACAACGATAGGGTTCCTACCGGGTTCACCCTTCGTGCTGGAGAAAGAGAAAGATACCACTAACAGTAACTTATGGCCGATGTAACGAGCGGATACTTGGCCGGCCCAAGTAGAGGAGGACGAAGCGGGAGGAGGTAAAGCCAATAAACTAAATTATCGCTGTAACACTCTGAATCGCGTTGTGATTGGCCGGGATGTTACACGAAGGAGATTGAATTTACGAGCACGTCTCGCGCGTATGGACGAGTCGAGGAACCGTCCAGCTATTTTAGCTTTTAGGGATACGTGGAAATTAATGCATGAACGACTTCTTTCTTTCCAACAAGAAAACAGATCGAGACCGCAACGTGCGAATTATACAAAATAAACAAACAAGCAAATAAATGAATAAACCGTACGAA